TAAAATAGATTGAGACAGGTAAGGCCCTATGAATGAAATACACTTCCAAAAAAAAAAAAGAAATACACTTCCAGTGCCAGCATAGGGGAATTCCTAGTTCTGTCCTCACCTCTTTGGAGCAGTTTGAGGCTCTCGTGGTCTGGGGCATCTGGCATAAAGTGGATGGTGGAGTCACTAGTATCATAGTAGGCAATGCCCAGGTATCCTGAATTCCACAGGACACACAAATGAATCTGTCGGGCAAGGAGGAAAGGAAACTAATATTTGACCCACTAACAAGTACAGGGTTGGGCCATGTCTTATTTAATTTTAATTATTTTATCGACTCTCAGAGATAGGTATCAACATCCCCATTCAGTAAATGTGAAATCGACACTCAGCGGAGGGAAGTGACTAGCCCAGGTCTTCGCAGACCCTTTATATTCTAACAACCAGGCGTTCCAATCAACTTCCAGCTCTGTCGAGCTCCTGCTCCTCCAACAGCGCCTCTCCCCCTACAAGACCTCAGCAGGTTCCTCCTCTTCCTCCTCCTCGGGCTCCCGGGGGCCCGGCACTGAAGCCACGGTGGGGAAGCTGGCAGAGGCCTCCCCGGGTCCTGGTCCGTTCGGCGTCCTGGCTGGGGTCGCTGCTACCGAGGCCATGGCTCTAGAGGCTCTGTGGATGCAAAAAAATGAAGACAGTTCTGGAGCGAGAGCTCACTTGCTAGGAGGTGCGGGTAGCGGGGCGCGCAGAAGCAAATCCACTGAGAACTACTGGGAGAGGGCTGAGGGTCAAAGCTGCGTGGGCCTTCGAGAGCTGTGGTTACAGGTGTAGGACATTTGGAGGGGCGACTTTTCCAGTATTTCACTGTAGTACAGACTGTGGAAAACACCACTCGCCCCACCCTCATCCCTGTCACGCGGAGGTTGTGTTTCGGGGACGGTCTTGAGCGTCCTTTGGGCGGCGAGTTTTACACGACTCCTCACTCCCCTCCTGCCAACCAAGCCCCCAAGATCACAGTCTCACGATCTTGGCTTCCCCGACCCGGATGCAGGAAGCTCGCGGTGTTTTCCCGCCTTTTCAGTCACCTGGGTCGCGACGTGCGCGACACCTCGTCACTAACAGCCGCGGACCAGCGGGACGGGTGCGCCAACACGAAGGCGGGGTGCGCGCGCACATGCCCCGCCTCCCTAGCCGCTATTGGTCGAAGAAACCCGGATCCTACCTAGAGATCCAACAGAGTGAAAGGGAGAAAAGGACCACAGAGAAGGCTGGATGATGATTGGCCTATTCGCATACGGGGCGTTGCCAGAGGTTCAAACTTCCCGCCCTCTGCCGTTGCCTAGCACCCGCGCCTCCGGCCCTCAGGCCTTCTGGGCTTTGATTGAGAGCCTGTGAGAAAGGTTCTTAGAGCAGAGCCGGAGCCCGAGCCCCACCCCCACCCCATCCCGCACGGCGGGTCTAGGGACTTTGGGGAATCTGCAGACAGGACCGACCTTAAAGGAACAGAAGTGCACTTTTTTTTTTTTCCTGGAGAATGGAGATAAGCAACATTAATTCAACCTATGCCAACAATCTAAGTTAATATTTATAAAGAGCTTAGACCAGTGCTGGCAAACACAGTAAGAGCTTCCTGAGTGTTTTAAATAAATAAGCTGAAATAAGAAGCGAGGCTCCTATCTCAGCCCACCTCTGCTTGTTTCCTGGGTGCAGAGTATGATCGCTGCCATAGAGGCACCACAAGGCCTAATTAATAATTTCGGCGCCCCACGAGAAGTTGGAAATATTCGAATTTCACCAAATTCTGACAGAGAGAAAAAGAAAAGAAAGTGAAGTCGCTCAGTCGTGTCCAACTCTTCGAGACCCCATGGACAGTGCCTACCAGGGCTCCTCCGTCCATGGGATATTCCAGGCAAGAATACTGGCAGAAAAAAAAAAAAGAATACTGGCAGAGAGAAGTAGACCTAATAAAAACACCTACACCCCTACAAGCACATGCCCCTACCCTTACACACACACATACACACACACACACACACAGACCCCTAAGAATAGAAGAGTGTTATTTATTCATTCTGGGCCAGGTAGTGGAATCAAAGCAGGTGACATAAGTTCCTACTCCATGAGCCTAATTTTTGAGTGTGTATATGAGGGGAGGAGAAACAAGAAGATCAAGAGACCAAAATTAAGTTTATATAATTATATAATTATATTATATAATTTTAAGGGACTTCCTGGTGGTCCAGCAGCTAAGATTCAATGCTCCCAGTACAGGGGGTCCAGGTTGGATCCCTAGTCAGGGAACTGGATCCCACATGCCACAGCTAAGAGTTCACAGGCTGCAACTAAGGATCCTGTGTGCCACAACTAAGACAAGGAGCAGCCAAATACATATATATTTTTTAAAAGTCTCTTGAAATACATCTTTACCCCCAGGTTGTTCTGGGTACTTTGAGATGCAGAGATTCCCATTGAAGCACTTAGGAAAGATGGTGGGGGTAAAGTGGCTCTGCTAACTAATAAATAGAAAATCTCCTCTAGTGAGAAAGGTGGAGGAGTGAGTTAAAGACTAGGTTAATGGTTACCCCTGGCAAATTGTTGAGCAAGGGAGCTATGGAAACCTGGAGGAGGCCAGGTGACAGCTCTAAGGAGTGTCGGGGGAGGGACACACCTTCCAATCTGGGGTGGGAAGAGATTAGGGACTGGTTTACCAAGCTGAGGAAGGGGAGGAAGTGGAAAGAGAAGCCTGGAGAAGTAAAGGGGAGAGACTGAAATAGGAGAAAAGCAGGGGCAAGGAGATGGAGATGGGAGGGAAACTTCTCTGAGGCAGGATTTGGGGGGTGTAGCCCCTGACTTCAAACCCATGAGACACTGATGGATGGTACCAGGACAGGGCAACATTACCTGTCACCTGAGAAGTTAAGGAAAAATACTTTGTGGGCAGCCATGCCAGCTAGCCAAAGTCAATATTGATGATCAAGGCAGTTCTAGTTATAAAAACTGTAGTAGAGAAAAAGAGAGGCAGGGGAGAAGCTGCCAAACCCGTTTGAGCTCAGGACTGGCCCAGTTTGCCTGAGGCTTCTCCCAGAGGGGAGATTTTTGTGAGGCAGATTCTGGTGGACATGGACCAGCTGGAGCAGAAAAGGACCCTGGGATGTAATGCTGCTTTGACCTCCTTCTTCAGATGGAAGGGGTCATGTGTGCAGGTTTCAAGGGTCACCTTGGAGGAGATTCCCCTCAACGAACAAATATTTGTTGAATCGTTCTACATTCTTCTGTTGAAGGAAAGTGAAAGTCACTCAGTTGTGTCCGACTCTTTGCGACCCCATGGACTATATAGTCCATGGAATTCTCTAGGTCAGAATACTGGAGTGGGTAGCCTTTCCCTTCACCAGGGGATCTTCCCAACCCAGGAATTGAACCCAGGTCTCCAACATTGCAGGTAGATTCTTTACCAGCTGAGCTACAAGGGAAGCCCAAAAGAGAACAAATATCAAATATATCCCCTCTGTGAGGAGGACAGAGAAAGGCCTTCCTCCAGGGAAGAGAAAACCCACAGAAGAGGAAGCATGAGAGGAAACCACTAACTGCTGGTTCTAGCACCTCTCTTCACTCCATCCGCTCCTCCCCCAACTCTCTCCTGTTCTTTAAGTTTCAAGCCCTGTTTTGCTCCTATATCCTTGATTTTCTGAAACTCTAGGTGTCTTGTTAGACAGAGGGTAGTAAGGAAGAAAGAGATGGCTGAACAGGACAGAGATTCAAATGTGGAGGCTGGCATATGTCCTGTTTGGAGAACATATTTTGGGGCTATTTTTCAGCAGATCATAAAGAGTTTGATAGAGCCTCAAAATCAAAGGTTATTGGGGAGGGAGGGAGAGCACTATTCTTCCTCTGTCCTCTCTACTTCTTTATTTGTGTCCCTAAGGACTCTGCTGACACTATCTTGTCTGATTTTCACCCTTTCCCCCCACGATAGGACCAGCTACCACCAGCCCAGTAGGATCAGTGCTGCTCTACTCTAGGGCTACAGTAACCCCCTGCTTTCCTCCTCATCTCCAAGGCAACCTGTCACTGAGAAAAGGGCAAAAGGCACAGCAAGGGGCTCCAGATGGGGGTCAGAAGTGGAAGCATTAAAGCTGAACAGGCTCCGTGGCTGATTCATGTCAATGTATGGCAAAGACCACTACAATACTGTAAAGTAATTAGCCTCCAACTAATAAAAATAAATGAAAAAAAAAAAATAAAGCTGAACAGGCTGCTGAATGGGAGAGGACCTCTCCCAGCGATGAGGCCCCTGGGCTCAGCTTCCGGTTTCCCCAGCACAGGGCCTGTTATCTCCCCTCCCCAACCCTGCCCTACTTTTCACCACTCTCTTCCCTCAAACCCAGCTTCCACTTCCAAGTCCCTCTTGCGGACCACAGTCCTAGCAACCCAGAATTGGGAACTGGAGTCCGGAAGAAACTTGGAGGAAGGAATAAAGGACCACTTTTCCCTTCTATAATTCCCTTTCTGGGCCCTCGGGGACGTGCTCAAGCAGTGTCAGATTTCTTGGGTGAGGGTGGAGTGGGAGTGTCCTCTGATTAAGCAAGCAGGGAAACTGAGGCAGAAAAAAAGTCCCGTGATCAAGGAGACTGGCAGGGACACAAGGCATTTTCCCGAGACTCATCTCAAACCCCCTCCCCCATCATCAGGGAGACCCGAGGCTCACCCCTCCGGGCCCACTCCCTAGGTCGTCGAGTCCCGCCCCCCGCCCGTCCCCTCCCCAGGTTCGGGGCGGGGCGGTCCGTGAGTCAGCTCCCAGATCGAGTCCGAGAGCGGGTAGAGCTAGAGCCGCTGGGTGTGGAGTACGCTGGACTGGTGGAGAGGCCGCGTCTGGAGTGAGCGGGTCTGATCAGGCTCGTGTGGCGCTGAAGGGCCAGCCCTAGGTCTGGGGGAGAGAATCTCTTCTGTGAGACCGCCTTCCCTGCCCGGCCCCTCCCAGTTCCCCCAGCGACGGCCGCTTCCTGGTCCCCGTCGCAACCATGGCTGAAGAACAACCGCAGGTCGAATTGTTCGTGAAGGTAAGAACACCTTCTCCCTCTTCGGCCCCCCTCCAAGTTCCTGGAAGCCAACTCTCACTTTTCCCCAGCTCCAGCCTCCACTCCCCACTCCCTTTCCTCTTCGATTCCCACCCCCAGCCCCACGTGCAATCTTTAGTGTGGGGGGGGCGGCGGCGGGAGGGTTGGGAGTCGAAGATAATGTGCGCGCCTAGAGAAATCTAGGCTCAACCCTGAAAAGTTTGTAAAAGTGCAAGTTTCCAGCAGCCTAAAGGACAAGAAGATAGAGAAAAGGGAGGGTTCCCAGGAGTTGAGAAGATTGACGGAGTGGGGGTGAGGGAACAGCTGATAGGAGACAGAGAGAGAAGGGGCCAGCCGGAAACCTAACAAGGTTTGGGTTGGGACCGAGGGAAACAAGCCGGAAACCTAACAAGGTTTGGGTGGGACCGAGGGAAACTTCAGAATAAGGGTCCTAAAAAAGATCAGAGGGTGAGGCACATGGTGGGGGAGACTTGGAGGGTGTGTGTGTGGGTGTGTATGTGTGTGTATGTGTATGTGGCGGGGGAGGTTTCAAGGAAGAGGGTGTGGTAGGGAGGTCTGGGAGTGGGACCAAGTGAACTGGGAAGAATTGGTGGGGTGGAAGGAGACAGGAGAGTGGGAGTGGAATTCCAGAAGCTGGCGTGGGGGTCAGAGGTGGGGGTCCAGAGGTGATGGGGTCAAGAGCCAATGTCCTGGGGTCTTGGAGAAGAGAAAGGGTGGTGGCGGGGAGATGAGAGTTGAGCAGTGGCTACCACGAGGGTAGATGGGAAGAGAGAGCAGGAGAAGGAGCGCTTAGGACGTGTAGGGTTTGGGGGTTATAGAAACGAAAGAAAAAGAGCCGTCCCAATTCTGTCTTCTCCGTGGGTGTTGATGAGGAGAGGTGGTCCCAAGGTATTTGCATATCGAAACCTCAGGCTGCAGCTTCTGCCGTGCTGCCTTCCGCACTAGACTTGCATTCTCTCGCCTCTCCAGACCCCTTCTCTGTGCTCCTCCCTCGCTTTAGCGACCTCCCCCTCCGTCTGTATCTGCTGGCTCGCTGTCTCCCCACCCTTCACTTTCCTGTCTCCTTTCCCTCCACTTCCCCTCTTTTGTTCCTCCAGCCTTTGTGTGTCCCAGCCCGTTTCTCCCTCTGCTTTATGCCAGGGCCTTCTCAGGCGGCCATTCCCTCTCCCTCAGTCGTGCCGGGGTCCGCCCCCTTAGGTGTGGTCCCCACCTCACTCTCACTCTTGCCTCCGGGGCTATTTTTACTCTTGGGTGGGGCTGCGCTGCAGAGATTCCAGTCCTGGGTCCTACGTGAGGAAGGTTATCTGGAGCCAGGGGACTTGCTCTGGGAGAGGCCCCCCCCCCCCCCCCCCGGCAGTGCCCAGAGAAGAGGGAGGTGGCATTGTCTGCCCAGGCCTCAGCCTCACAACTCCCTGCCCCCACTGTTTGCCAGGAAGGAAGCCGCTGAGACCCAAGACACAGTGAGATGAATCACCCTCAGCCTAGGGGGAGGTGTCCGTTGGGGGATGAGGTCAGGGATTAGAGAGCAGCCCCCCCTACAAGGCCCTCCACACCTCGAGGGTGAGGCTCTGAGCCCCTTGACTGCCCACCCAGCTGCTTGGGTAGTGTATAGAGAACCAGAACTCCTGCTTCCAAACCCCCGCCCCACCTCTCCTGTCTTTAGGCTCTACTTCCTTCAGGAATCCAGGCCTCTAGCCGACACTGCTAGCTTCAACAAAGGCCCTTTCTAGATTCTATTTCATGGGTCAATGTGAGAATTAAATGAGTTATGGCATGTAGAATACTTAGAATAGCACCGAGAAAGGTAAATACTTCTGCCCCCGTTAGTCTTCCCTCTCTAGGGTCTAGCTCCTTCAAATTCTCCAAAATCCATTCCCTGGGCCTTCCTCCCATTGTCCTCGGTTCTCTGGGAAACCAGAAGCTTACCTTTGCAGAAGATATTCTTAATGATCCGTCTTAGGTTTGACCCAGACCAGAGAGTGCAGAGCCCAGTTATGTGGGGAGCTTTTAGCGGTGAGACTGAGTATGTGTCGTGACTAGGCAGAAAGCAGCAAAGTCTGGGAGTAGGAGATGCAGAGAATGGCCTCAGGATGAGTGGGGTACACCAGGCCTAACCTTGGGCTGGGGCTTCCTTTCCAGGCTGGCAGTGATGGGGCCAAGATTGGAAACTGCCCCTTCTCCCAGAGACTCTTCATGGTGCTTTGGCTCAAGGGAGTCACCTTCAACGTCACCACTGTTGACACCAAGAGGTAGGCCCACTTCTCTTCCTCTAAACCCCTCTTTTTTTTTTCCTCTCTCTAAACCCCTCTTACGTGCACACAGGTGCACACTCATTCACCTGAGTCCTTCCATCCTGAACCATTCTCCCAACCCCTCCATCTGAAGCCCCCTCCCACCTCCCTCCACCTCCCCTTTCTGGGTCTCCCTAACCCCCTTTTCCTGTCCTTACGCCTGGTCTCTCCTCCAGGCGGACTGAGACGGTACAGAAGCTATGCCCAGGAGGGCAGCTCCCTTTCCTCCTGTATGGCACCGAAGTGCACACAGACACCAACAAGATTGAGGAATTTCTGGAGGCTGTGCTGTGCCCTCCCAGGTAGAGGGGGACTTGGAATGGGAAGTGGGGGAGCTGGGAGACTCTGGGAAAAAGGGGTTGAAGAAATGGAAAACAGGGATGGTGGTGGGGCTAGGGCAGGCGAGCTGAGGCTCCTCCTCAGAAGATATCTTATCCAGTTTCTCCCATTGGCTTTTAGGTACCCCAAGCTGGCAGCTCTGAACCCTGAATCCAACACAGCTGGGCTGGACATATTTGCCAAATTCTCTGCCTACATTAAGAATTCAAACCCAGCACTCAATGACAGTGAGTCTTGTGGGTCAGAGGCCTGGGTCCTAGGAGGAATGGAAAAGATCTAGGGATTCAGGACACCTGGATATTCAGATATCAGGGAGATGGAGCAGATATTGGCAAACCTTACTTCAATTAAAAAATAATATCGACTCTAGATCCAGATGACTTGAGTACAAATTCTGGTAGCTGTGAGCCTTCGGGGAATTCATTTCACTTCTCTGGAAATCTATTTTCATATCTATAAAATGAGGATAATAATACATACTTCCCCGGTTGATGTGAGAATTAAATGAGTTTTTGTATGTAAATTGCATAGAAGAGCACAGAGAGGGACTTCCCTTGGGGTCCAGTGGTTAAGACTCGTGCTTCCAATGAAAGGTGCGTGAGTTCGATCCCTGGTCGGGGCACTACGATCCCACGTGCTGTGCAGTGCGGCCAAAAAAATAAAAGAAAAATAAAGAATTATAAAGATATATATATAAAAAAAGAAGAGCACAGAGAAAATGAAACACATTAGTGTTAGTTATTATTGTTTTGGACTTTCCTCACCCCCACCATGGGCCTTCTTGGACTTTATCGATCTTCTGATGTTCTTACCAACTCCCTTCTCTTGCACAGACCTGGAGAAGGGGCTCCTGAAAGCCCTGAAAGTATTAGACAATTACCTGACATCCCCCCTCCCAGATGAAGTAGATGAGACCAGTGCTGAGGATGAGGGCATCTCTCAGAGGAAATTTCTGGATGGCAATGAGCTCACTCTGGCTGACTGCAACCTGTTGCCCAAGCTCCACATAGTACAGGTGAGTAGTGATTGTGGAAGGAGTAGGTGGGAAGTGGGATGACTCTTTAAGGGGCTCCCATGCAGGCTTCCCGTGACAACCACTCCAAAAGTGGTTTCTTTCTGAGAGTGGTTTCCAATGGCAGACACCACCCTATTCCTTCTCTACTATCTTTGCTGGCAAGACCACTGCTTGGGAGAATTAATTACGTTCCACGATGCAAGGTGTGGGTGCAAACAGACTGAGAGTAACACATTCCAGTACTGCTTTCAAGAATGCTCTTCCTGTCTCTATCGTTGCCAAATCCCCAGATCAGACAGACCAGGCTTTTCCTAAAATCAAAGTTTTAAGTCGTTGTTTCAGTCTCCACTTCCTCTTGTGGAAGATGAAAACTGCTGGTTCCCTTGTTTTTGTCACAGCTCAAAGCTATGGTTTAGTTTGTGAAACGTGGGCCCAGTGTCAGTCTGCTGCAGAACTGTGTATTGAAAATCTCTGTATTTATTTATTTGGCTGCACAGAGTCTTAGTTGTAGCATGAGGGACCTTTGATCTTGGCATGCTGCAGGTAAGTCCCTGCCTGCAAAGGATCTGAAATCTAGCTGAGAAAATAACTTTCACATGAAAGTTAATAATATATGATTAAAAGCCAAATGACAAGTAGACAGAAATTGCTGTAGAAATTTAAGAGAACTTTATGGTTTGTGAATTATATCTCAAAATCAAGAGGAGAAAACAAGCACCATGGACTAGGGTGGCCTGAAAAGGGGCTGTTTATAAATGGCCAGGATTTCAGTAAGTGGAGAGAAAGGGTGAAGGCCTTATTAGATGAGAGTTAAGATGACTGCAGGTGATCATGTGGGAGATGAGTCATAAGGACTGATGTTGAAGCTGAAACTCCGATACTTTGGCCACCTGATGCAAAGAGCTGACTCATTTGAAAAGACCCTGATGCTGGGAAAGATTGAAGGCAGGAGGAAAAGGGGACAACAGAGGATAAGGCGGTTGGATGGCATCACCAACTCAATAGCCATGAGTTTGGGTAAACTCCGGGAGTTGGTGACAGGGAGGCCTGGCGTCTGCAGTCCATGGAGTCACAAAGAGTTGGGACTGAGTGACTGAACTGAACTACACTGAAGAGTCATGAGAAAAGAAACCAGGTAGCGGACTTGCTTAAATGCCTGGATTTTATCATGTAGGCTGTGGGATAAGGGAAGGACCAAGGGCATGGCAGCTGGTGTGACTTCCCTGAGGCTAACCTATTGGTCCTCCTTCCCGCACCCCTAGGTGGTATGTAAGAAGTACCGGGGATTCTCCATTCCGGATGTGTTTCGTGGAGTGCATCGATACCTGCGCAATGCCTATGCTAGGGAAGAGTTTTCTTCCACCTGTCCAGATGATGAGGAAATCGAGCTGGCCTATGAGCAAGTGGCCAAGGCCCTCAAATAAGGCCCTTCCTAGGCTCACCGGCCCCCCTCCATTTTCTCCACAAAGGCCCTGGGTGGTTTCCACATGCTACCCAACGGACACACTCCAAAATGGCCAGTGGGCATAGAATCCTGGAGCACCTGTGCAGGGCTTGCTGGGGGCGATGAGAAGCAAGGTTGGGGGATCTGCGAGAGATTTTTGTTGTGGGGTGGGTTGGACAATGTATTTCAGTAATAAAATATAGAATGACAATCTAGTGTTTTTATACAAAACGGGGGCTTGAAGTGTGAATAACAAGGAAAGAAGAGTAGGTCAATGACCTTGAACTCCTGGCAGAAACCAAGGAATTTAGAAGAGGGGTGCTTGTGATGGGCTGCCATTTTTATGTGTAGGTCCACGATAGTGCTATCTTGGGCTCCATGCCGCATTTGCAGCCCAGCCGCCGGGGCTGGCCTGATCTGGGTGGGTCTGGGCAGCGATCTTGGGGCGGGGCGGAATTCCGAGAAGGGGGGCGCGCAGTCGGGGTGGAGTGGGCGCGGCATAGCAGGGCGGAATGGGCGTGACCTCGAGGAGCCCCGCCCCGTCCCGCTTAGACAATGCCCTGGAGCCGCCAGACCGTCGTGCCCCCGACCCACTGTAGTACTTGAGCTCGCCTATTCGGGGACCCCTCAAAGCCAAAGCTCCGGTCCCCGACGCTTGAAGGCTACGACTCTCTTCTTCACCAACTCTGTCCTCAGGGGGGTGGGGCTCCTGCCAAGATCACTGAGCGGCAAGAGCAGCGGTGGCCGCTGGAGGTGAGTCTGGGGTGGGAGGTGTCCCTTGGACTGTGTGCAGGCCGGAGTTCCGGAATGCTGGGCCCGTGCTTGCGCCGGGACAGTGCGGAGGGTCGACATTTGGGTGCGGAGCTGAGTCGGGGTGGACTTTGGGGAAGATGGATCAGGAGACTGGGGGACCAGGTCCTGACGCCCCGAGTGGCGCCTGCTCCCCAGGACCACGCCCCCCAATTTCCCCGCCCCTCGGATTTTGTTTTAGACCTCTCCCAGTCCTCCGGGACTCAATCTGGTTTACACTGGGTCGCGCTAGGGACGGAGTGACTGACTGGGGTGGAGAGAGGATGTTTAACTCCTTAGGCTCTATACCCTCCTCCTTGACCCTCTCTCCCTTTCTCTTTCGGACATTCAAGACTTTCATCCCCCAGGCTCTAACTCTCTCCCCAGCTGTCTCCTCCTGTCCCATCACCCCTGTGGGTTCCTCGCCGCACTTCGGGTCCCTAAGGCAGCGAGCAGCTGAGGGTTAAGGGGGCGGGGCCGCTGCATTTTTGGGGAGTGAGCGCATCCTAGCGGCTGCCAAGAGGGGCGCCTGGCGGGGACCTCTCAAAAACCCCCAAGCAGGGGCAACAGGTGTTTTGGAAATTAGGGGTCCCGATCTTGCTCCTCCGACTCCCCCTAAAGCAGCAGATCTGCTAGGGTGCGGGGTGGAGTGAGGTCCGCAGGAGAGGAAGGTCTGGAGGGGGTGGGGCGGAGTGGGAGGGGCGCCCGGAGAAGGCAGACGGAAGACCCAGGCGCTCTTAACCATCCCCCTACGCCCTTCTCTGCATGTCTCTCTCTCTGCCTCCCCCCTTTCTGTTTCTTCTCCCAGACAGGTGAAGTATAAAGAGAAAACTAAGAAATCAGCGCAGCCGGAGGGGGCGTCTGTGTGGATGGGATGGGGACGCCAGGGGAGGGGCTGGGCCGCTGCTCCCATGCCCTGATCCGGGGGGTCCCGGAGAGCCTGGCGTCAGGGGAGGGTGCGGCAGCTGGCCTCCCGGCTCTGGACCTAGCCAAAGCTCAGAGGGAGCATGGGGTGCTCGGGGGTAAACTGAGGCAGCGATTGGGGCTGCAACTAGTAGAACTGCCTCCTGAAGAGTCGCTGCCGCTGGGACCGCTGCTCGGTGATACCGCCGTGATCCAAGGGGATACAGCCCTAATCACGCGGCCCTGGAGCCCCGCCCGCAGGCCAGAGGTGAGCGCCTGGGCATGGGTTCGAGTAGGGGGAAAGAAGGATCTGGACATCCCGGGCTTTAGGGAAGAATGGGGTGGAAATATTTGTTTCGCTCCCTCTTCTCCTGCCCTAAGGTCGATGGAGTCCGCAAAGCCCTCCAGGACCTGGGGCTCCGAATTGTGGAGATGGGGGACGAGAACGCGACGCTGGATGGCACTGATGTTCTCTTCACCGGTGAGGTTAGGGTGCCTGCACCCTGGGGCCTGGTACAGGGAGGCTGTCTTTGGTAGAATGGGCCACATCGAGCCTTGTTTCCAACTCACTCGCGCCTCATACCTCGACGACCTCCCTGGGCTCAGGCCGGGAGTTTTTCGTAGGCCTCTCCAAGTGGACCAATCATCGAGGAGCTGAGATCGTGGCAGACACGTTCCGGGTTAGGAGCGCGGGTGGGGGTGGGGGGAGCCGGGGGTGGATGGGGTCGGAGGGACCTGGGCGGGGAGGAGAGGGGAGGGACTGGGGGGACTGAGGAGGAAGTGGCTGAGAATAGCCTGTGTTTAGGCTATCCCCGTCACTGAATACTTTCCCTTCTTCCCTCTAGGACTTTGCCGTCTCCACGGTGCCCGTTACAAGCTCCTCCCACCTGCGTGGCCTCTGCGGTATGGGGGGACCCCGCACCGTGGTGGCGGGTTCCAGCGAAGCGGCCCAAAAAGCTGTCAGGGTGAGAAGGGGCGGGGCTAGGGTGGGGCAAGTTGGGGGCCTGCCAACGACAGTGGGCGTGGCTCTAGGCCCAGGAGGCGGGGAGAAGGACAGCTCTGAGAATTAGCGCCAACCCCTACCCTCACTGTGCTGTCCATCTATGTGAGAAAACAAGTTACTATAAGCGGGACAAGCAGCTGGAACACCGAGGAACAGGGACAATTAACATCATCTTCCGGGGTTTCACGAAACTCTATAAAGGGCACCTAATCTGTGTCTTGAAGGATGGATAGGATCCACGGGTGGGGTCTGGAGTAGCACAGAAGTGGATAGCAGGTGGAAAGAACTGCCTGTGAGTCCCAGGTGGAAATTAGCAAAGTTAATTAAAGTACTCAGTGTCTGACACATAGTAACTGACATGTGGTTGCTGTTATTATTATTCCACAATAATGTGACTCTTTCCCCCACCCTTAGCGGTGGTAGCACAGCAAGACTCACTTGTGGAGAGGCTGAGCCTTGCGTGTTTCCTCTCTCTTCTCCCCCAAGGCAATGGCAGTGTTGACTGATCACCCCTATGCCTCCCTGACCCTCCCGGATGACGCAGCGGCTGACTGTCTCTTTTTGCGTCCTGGGCAGCCTGGCCTGCCCCCTTTCCTCCTGCACCGCGGAGGCGGGGACCTGCCCAACAGCCAAGAGGTGAGAGAAGGCAGGAGCTCCACCACCACCCCCAACTAGAGAAATGGGGCTCAGGCCTTCCTTGTGGGAGGAAGAAGGGGTGCCTTTTCTAGAAGCCCGAATGGGGCCACTCAGAGCTGGCTGAAAGGGGGCCCCGCCTGTGGGTCTTGGAGTCTCACTCCCTTCTCCCCACATGCTGTCCTCCCTGCAGGCACTGCAGAAGCTCTCTGATGTCACCCTCGTACCTGTGTCCTGCTCAGAACTGGAGAAGGCCGGCGCTGGGCTCAGTTCCCTCTGCCTGGTGCTCAGCACACGCCCCCACAACTGAGAGCCCGGCCTGGGGGTCCTGGCTGACCAGGGGTAGAATGGCATAGGAGTAGAAGGGGAAGGAAGGTTAGATAGAGGATGGTGATTAGGCAGTAGTGGGGAGAAGGCCCCAAGATAGAGGAGGGCACAGAGTGAGAAAAAGGATAGAGACCACTGGGTGAGTCCTTTCCTCAAGAACTAATAAAATAGAACTGACCTTTTAGACTGGACTGCGACTGGTGTCTTCCTGGAGCAGAAGGACAAGGGCAGGGCTAAAACCCCAGGTTGGGATTAGTGCTGGGGAGGAGACCTCCTTCATTCATCAAACCCTCACTCTACACACCCTGACTCATTGTCCAGCCCTGTTGTGGGGGCTTGGGTACAAGATGGACAGGAAAGAATTTCTCTTGTGGGGAGCATGTACTGGGCAGAGAAGAGAAAATATGAGTGAGTCACTCACTGAATTTATCTAAATGTCAGATGATTCAGAGACTTGGAGATCAACAGCCCATCCCCCAGCTGATAGGAGGAAATGACATTTCCAGGGACATTCATTTACCGAGGCTTAGCAGTGAGATAAAAAGGGTCAGTCTCCTGATATCAGGGAACTCACAGTACATGAAAATTTCTTATAAATTGAAATACAGGTTGTAATGGAACAATTCACAGGAGGCTGTTGCTATGAGAGAAATAAGGGGCTCCAGAGGGCATCAAAGTATATGCAGGAGTGGGCTAAGAGGGTCAGAAATAACTTCCCAGAAAAGATTACATTTGAACTGAGTCCTGAGGATAAATAAGAATTAGTCAGGCACATGGTGAGAAGGAGACAAAGGGCAATCCAGGAAGAAGGAACTGCAGTGGGCACAGGCATATTTGTGGGCTGGGGAGAATTTCTCAAAGGCTTCATGTTCTAGGCATCGAGTGACAGAGATAAGCCTGGAGAGTAAGTAGAATACTGTAACACCTTGAAACCAAGGCTGAGGGCCAGAACTGAAATACTGCTGGAATGTAGGCGGTCAGGAGGTTAGCATTCAGGGAGATTCTGGTTTCAGTGAGGAGCGCAAGGACAGGAGAATGAGATGAGCCTGTGGGAAATCCAGGGAGGAACTGAAGCGAGTACACTCAGGTGGCAGTGCTGGGCATGCAAAGGGTGTGGATTTGATGACGACATTAAAATAGACAGGACTTGGTTTATCATGTGGGAGTGAGAGGAAGGAGGTTACATGACTCCCACTTTCTGGCTTGGGCAACAGGGTTGATCAAGAGAAGATGCATGGAGGAAGGTTTAAATAAGTGGCTTGGGAAATGACAGTGCGTTGGCTTTTGGACCTGCTGTGTGCAAAATACCTAGGGTCAGCCAGGCAGGGATGTCTGAGGGACAGTTTGGAAATCTCACATCAGAGATGGGAACTGGAGGGAATTCTGGGTGTTTGCAGTTAAAGTAAAGGCTGAGGACTGGCTGTGGATGACACCCTCCTAGAAGAGGGAGAAAAGCAGATATTAAAAAGACAAACCTGGAATGGTGGGGAATACTGTGGGAATAGGGAGGAAGGAAAGGGAGTCCAGGAGGAAGACACCGACATTAAAGAAAAACAGAGCTTAAATAAGAGAGCAATCAAAGGTCAAGCCAGATGAATGCTAACAAAACATCTAGTGGGTGTGGCTATTAATACCTCACTGGCAATCTCATGGAGACAGGTGAGTAGTAGGAGCAAGGAAAAAATGGAAGAGACAGGTGTAGGCCCTTGGTTCAAAGAGCTTGACTGTCAAGAGAAGTGAAGAGATAGGGCAACGATCTAGGAGTTGCTGGTGTCTTAAGGTGGGGAAACAGGTGTGAGAGACAGGGGTAAGGAAGGACCAAGATCAGCAGCAGAGATAGCCTGGAACCTAGGTCTCTCAACTCCCAGTCTAGTGCTCATTTCTATCCCATGGTGCCTGCCTTTGTCAGGTGAAGGGCCAAGAAGGGGAGGGGTGTAATGGAGATCTGGGAGCCCCCAGCTTGTGAGGTTTGCTGTAAAGGCTTCCCTTCAAACTACAACAGCATAGATGGTGGAGGCATCAGCAGGGACCACTGGGGACAGTCGGTTGGACCTTCTGAGGGCCATATGATCCAGGTCTGCGTAGAGCAGGCTCTGAAAGGTGGGGAGGAAGGCAGGAGGGTCTCAGAAGTCTGACTCCCCTGGGTATCCAGGCCTCTCTCCCTCCACTTGAGTCAAGGATTCTGGCCAACCCCCATCCCGCCCCCAAGCCCTTACCGGCTCCTGATCCAGGTCCCCTGACATCTTGGGCTCTTCCTCCTCTTCTGGCCTCTGGGGCTCGGCTTTCACGAGTGAAACTATGTGGGGGGGACAGAGCTGAAGGATTGAGAGAAGGTGACCAACTTGTCTGCTCCCGGCAAGGGCTCAGACTCAGACACTGGGTGGGGAATGTGCGGATAAAGAAAAGTGCGGGGGAGTTAGTCTCACCAAATCTGGGGGTTGGTCGAGGCGGATGAGGGGGCGAGCGCCTGTAAGGGATGGGTAAGTCTTTGAGAAGCACTAACCGTGTCTTGCTTCGTTGTGGGCGCCCCCACCCCGGACGCGCCAACAACGACCCAGCCAGTTTCAGGCTCTGACCAGGAAAATAACGTAGGTTCCACCCCCACGAATACATCAACTCACGCGTGGAGCCTGCTCCGCCTCCATCTTCGCCTTCTTAGCTATGGCTCCACCCACCAGCCCATGGCCTCGCCCCCCAGTTCTAACCTCCCCCATTCATCTCCAAACCACATCTGATCTAGCTTTGGTCTGCGGAAGTTCTGGGCCTGCCCCTCCCTCCTCGGGTCAAGACCCTTTCAATCAGGCTCCGCCTCTTGTGCTCACCTGCGCCGCCAGCAGGCCCAGCCCACTACTCCGAGGCCCAGCACCAGCCCAGTGCCCAGCAGCGGGATCAGAATCTGGGAATACGACGACCCTGGGGGAACGTTGGAAGCGGGGTGGGAGTAGTTGATGCCGAGGTCAGGGTGTGGGGACAGAGCGCTAGCCGCCCCGCCCCCACCCCCGTCCCAGGAACCCCCAGCCGAGGCCTCTCTCCCTGCTGGGGGCGTGTGTCAGAGTAAGGTCCCTGCGCATGAAGGCAGAGACCTACCCAGAGCTTTGCAGTAGGCCCGGTCTCCCAGCACATGAAGCTCCGTACGGCTCTCCTCGTCTTGGCGACCCTTGCAGATAAAGGTGCCCGAGTCCCCCGCGCTCAAGAGCAGCTCCAGTCGCCGGATACCAAGGTCCAGGGCATTTATGCGGCCAGCAAAGGGCTGGGCGGGAGACACGGTGGGGGTCCCACTCGGTGAGGCCCACAGGATCGGGCGGCGTCCTTTGGACAGGCCTTTGCAGGCCGGGAATCTAGGTGCCCAGACCCAACGGGTGGGTTGCAAGACCCCTATGCAGGAGAGATTCACGCGGTCCCCGGGGTGGCCGTTCAGTGAAGCTATGGGAGGGCAGAGGCATTGGTTAAGAGAACACCATAGGGCAACACGACCCTCCCACTTAGTCTGATGCCTCTCCCGTGCTGTCTTGCCATCCTGGATCTTCCCATATACATCTCACCCTCCTGTCTCCCCTTCCTCCTGCCTCAGTCTTTCCTCCCCCATTGCAACTTTACTGGGATGGCTTACCCCCTGGGTCCCCTTGGGCCCTCGACAGCAGCAGCAGCGGCAGCAGCTGCAGAACCAGGGTCATGGCTGGGATGTGGTGGGAAGAGGAGGGCAGTGAATCAGCGGAGGAGACCGGAGGGAAATCAAACGGGGGTGGAGGGGGAGACCGCGAGTCTGGGGGCACTGATAAAGGGTGGGGGAGGGGCCACCAGCCGCCCAGATCCCTCTGGGAATCCTCAGAGGCAAGTTCACAGCCCTTAACCAGTGCTCACTTAAAATGTATGCTGGGGTCCTTTACACAAGCACTTGTGCAGTCCTCAAATCTTGCAGCATAGCAGTTGCCATGAGCACCACTATTTCTGGATTCTGACTGTCTGAATTCAAACCTTGATTTCACTATCTACTAGCTGCGAGATGTGCACAAGTCACTTCTGTGAGCCTGTTTGCTCATCTGTAAAATGGGCATAAAGGCACCTACCTCACAGAGTATTTGGAGAACTAAATCAAATAATACATGGAAAACGTCTAGAACAATGGCTGAGTCATAGGAGCACTATGTGCTTGCCATTATGACTATTCCTATTCCTATTTTAGCTGCTACCTCACCTCTCTGTGCCCATTCTGTCCCTCCTGGCCCAAGGAGCCACACCCAACTGAGCAGGTTTTGGCTCAGGAGGTGCTTTGGAGCAGATGTACAGCCCCACACCCTCGGCCTTCACTGCACCAGAGGAACCAAGGCCAGGCCAAACCCAAGTGGAACTAGGGCAATGTCCTGAGCACTTCAGGGGTCCTGAGGCAGCCCCTCCTTAACAGGCAGCTCCAGCCCTTGCCTCTGCTGCTATTATGTCACACAAACCATGGTGACATCACAAACCCTACTCCTTCATCCTGTGGCTGAGCAGGGCTTGGGAAAACAAAGTGGGGGCTGAAGTGAGATGAATGTGATGCTTAATTCCTGCCTACATGCCCCTACCAGTGCCCCCCAGGGACCAAAATTTGGTAGTCACCTGGGGCTGCACCCCATTGTCCATTTCCCAGGAACCAGGAGATGCTGCTACCACCCCAGCCACTATAACATCACAGGGGCCTTTAGTGATACTTCTCCAGAGGATTAGGCAGACAGAGATGTTACTCCTGGAAGCCAGGAGGGTGTGTCTTAGATGGAAACCAAGAAGCAAAATGGAGTTAGTCACTGCTGCACCTGACCTTCCCACACCTGTCTCTCCCATCCCCATCCCACTCCTCCACTGGGTCCTGCTTAGCCCCTCCCTAAATGGGGAAGGAGGGGCCACCAGAGGCCAGGGAGGGAGGGACTGTTGTGATTATAAACTCCAAAAAGGCCACTCAAGTCCCAGAGCCAGAGTCAGATCCCTGAAGTCCTCCTCTGTCGGCTGCTGCCGTTCTCAGGACCCTCACCATGAGAGCCCTTCTCCTGCTCTCCTTGTCTGCTCTGCTCTGCTGGGTCTCAGGTGAGCCCCTGGGGCCCCTCAGGATGTGGTTCACCTGGTCAGAATTTTTACACCCTGCCCCAGCCACTGCCCTACAGTACCCACGGATCCTAAGCGCCCTCGGACCCAACTGGCTTGGCTTTCCTGTGCCCCTGTGACAAGGTCCTTGCTCTGTTCTCCCCCATCTCCATCCTTCAGCTTCTTTCCCACCTCCAAAACCCACTCTTCTAACTGCCCAGGGTTACAGGTTCCCGGTTCCCCAATTCTCATAAACTCTCATATCCAGTTCCCCTTCCAACCCCACTCCAGGATCCAGTTTACCTGCTTTCTCCTCTCTCCACCTGCACTCAGCCAGGGTGTCCTCCCAGAAACCTAAGCATCCGGCTGGGGCTTCTTTTGCCATCCATCCTCCCATCTACTCCATCAGGGACTTTGTGCTCTGTCCCTCAAGCAGTGGTCTTTCCTAGATCCCCTTCCCACCCCTCTCCCCCCTGGGGTGCATACTTCCAGGGACACAAGTTCTGTGGAGGATTCCAGGGAGCCAGGGAGATTGCCCAGCCTTCTAGGGAATGTCAAGGTTGCTCACCCCAGGATGAGGTGGGTTTCACTGAGAGGCAATCACCGGGCTTCTCCACCCATGGCCTGAACTCTTCCTTCTCTCAAACCTTGAATCAGATGTGGCAGGAACCTTGGGGGCACCTTCTGCGCTCATCCGCTCCATTTTGGTAAAGTGCTCAGATCTATTCTGATGATCTGCCTCTCAGATACTATTCCTTTCTGTCGGAGACCTACCAGGGTGGGAGGATTTATTCTGGGTCTGCTTCCTCTTCCCGTATCCTTGGTGGCCCCAGGAGGTAAAGAATGCTTTGCTTAACTGCCCCCCCCCCCCAGGTGGCTTTCTTGCCCACCTTGAGCTCCAAGCCATTCCTGCAAGTGTTATAACCTCCATGATTGATTTTTACTTTGAATATTTCTTCCTATTTCATCTCTTCATCTGTAACCTTCTGAATTCCTTCATCTCCTCCCTAGACACCTACACATTCCTTCCCAGAGGTAGTCTCACATTCCATCCGCCCCAGACCCATTGTTGGTAACTGCCCCTCTTGACTCATCTCCAGATGAGTTGGAGTGAAGAAAGATATTCAGGGTGTGGGCCATTCACAGACCAACTCCACCCTCACCCACTTCTACGTTTTTTTGCATCCCTTACCTGTTCTGTCCCTAGCTCCCTAGCAGACCAAACAGGTCAGAATCCCAACTTGACTGACTCCTCTCCAACCCCACCCACCAGCTTGGCTCATCCCTTGGTGAGTCATATATTCTGTCACTTGTGTCTTCCCAGCTGATATTCGATGTCACTCCTGCTACAAGGTCCCAGTGCTGGGCTGTGTGGACCGGAAGTCCTGCCGCCTGGAACCAGGACATCAATGCCTGACAACCCATGCGTACATTGGTACCATCCCCTTCTTCAGTGGGGAGGGGGGGCCAGTGGGGGACTCTATGGCTGGGGCTCAGGTGGAACAGAGAACTACAGCAGTGATAATATTTGGCCAAGGATTACTGTTTCCCAGGCACCATCCTATATCTTTACATGGATTGTTTGAATTTATGTTCATGACATCCTATGATGTGGATGCTATTATTATATTGAGGAAACAGCCTCTGAAAGAGACAGGAACAGATCCAAAGCCTCATGGGCAGCAAATGATAGGCCCGGGATTGGGGTGAGGGGGCAGGATAAGGAAGTGCAGGAGAAAGCTTAGACTGAGAAGAGATACAGAAGGGCAGGGCCAGGGGCAGAGTTGAGAAGGCTGGAAGCCCGAATGGGGTGCATGGGGTGGGGAGACAGGCCCAGGCATGCCAGATGCTTGTCTTTACTAACCTCTTTGCTCCCTCCTAACCCCAGGGAAGATGTGGGTTTTCTCCCGACTCGACTGTGGCACACCAGGAGAGCCCTGTAAGCCGGGGGTCAACCAAACCAACCAGAAGGGGGGCCTGACCTATAACACCACCTGCTGCAGCCAGGACAACTGCAATAGCCCAGCCCCTCGGCCCACACCAGCCCTGACCCTTGTCTTCCTCACCTCCTTGGCTGGCCTTGGCTTCTGGCTATTGCACTGAGACTGGCTCCATGGCTGCCCCTCCTCCCATCTGCCTTCGCCTGAGCCTCTCTTGTGTTTCCATACACCCTGCTTCCCTTTGCTCAGAAAAGCATCTCTCCAGATGCTTCATATTGCTTTAACTAGACAGCGGTCTCTCCATCCATCTTTCCACCCACGCCCTCCACTCTGCTTTCCCAGAGACCCTTCCCATTCCCCTCGACACCACTCCAGATCCTCCATTGCCTTCAGGGAATGCTCCCCACTTTGCTTCCTGCGCTCTCCCGTGCCCTGTGTAAAGAGCAATTGGAATCTGGACCTGAAATGGAGTTCTGTCCTGTCTCCAGTGAAGGCTGCCAGGAAGCACCTGATAACCTCACCGTATAAGCTGACACTTCAAATCCTGGCTCCCATACATACCTCATCCCCATGCCCACCCCTTTCCATTCCAAGTAATAAATGTGTAAAGCCGATCTATTGTGTGTGTATTGTCAGAAGATCTATTGTCAGCAGCCCCCCTCCCAGGAAATAACACTCTCAGCCCCAACCCTCACCAAAGGGCCCTTCCGGGAGTTTCGCTGGGAGGCCAGGGTTGGGACAAAGGGAGAAACGGGTTTTTCAGACCTGTCTTTTCTTCCAGTGTCTGGGGTGGCCCAGTGTTTGCAGAAACAATCTTTATCCTATATTTAGGCCACACCTGTGTTGTACTGCCAGGAAGGAGGTGCAAGCCTGACTTGCAGGCTCCCAGAACGGGTAGGAGAGTTGCACAGGGATGGGACTTGGGACCCTCCTTCCAGGCCTCAGTCCCTCAGGTTAGAGTCAGAGGCCTCACCTGGCCTTGTAGGTGGGGCACCAAGGCACCGTCCTGTCACAGGGTTTACATTTTCTTTCTCAATTCCAAATAGTCATATTGGGAGTCAAGTTGCCAATGGGGGGAAGGGGAACAAGCCCAGACAACCAGACTCACTGATTCCTGGTGGCCAGCCCAGAGCCCGCTCCCCTCAGTGATCCTTGTTGCTAAGGAAGACTCTCCCTGGCAACAGGTAGGAGTCACTTAGGGCAGATTCACCACTGTCCTTTGGGGTTTAGTTGGTTAAGAAGTGTACCACTGTAGCTAAGTCCACTGATCCTTGATAACCCCTAAACTAGAGCCTGGATGCCCCTGCATTACCCCTTCAGCCCTCCTATCAACAAAAGATGGAATTTTCCAGTCAGCTCTGGAGTGGTCGATAGATTTTAATGGCTCACAGATCTCCTTTATTTCCTTGCTGCCTTCTCCACCCCTGCTCCCATTACCCTCTCCAGAGTCCTGGCAAGAGCCAGGCCAGCGTGGTGACTGCTGTAGCCACGATGCTTATGGGGGCTGCAGTGCTCGCCACAGCACCGTTGCACAGGTCGCCGATGCAGCAGTCCCTGTGGGTTGTATAAGTCACGTCTCCCACCACTTCTGTCTCCACTCGATTGCAATGATGGGCTGCCACGCAGGCTGGATGGTGATGAATCAAGGTCACTGAGGCTGAGAGAGAAAATGAGACTGGGGTGTTGAACTGGCTTGAGGACTTGCCTTTTGGGGCAGAGCAGATATGATTTCAAGGAGCCCAAAGGGATCCTCCGCCCCCTCAAAAAACACCTCCCTGAAACCAAGTGATCACAGTTAACATGCTGACATCGTGAAGCCCCAACAGCATCCACTGAAAGGGACCAACATCACTTCTTTCCCAAAACTCAGGACCTCAATCTAATCATGAGAAAATATCAGGTTAATCCAAATTGCAGGAAATCTTTAAAATAACACATCAGTGTCAAGTATCAGAGATCAAGTGAAAGTATCAAGATCAAGAAATACAAAGAAAAGAAAAAAAGTGTCAATATCATGGAATCTGAGGAAGACAGCACTGTCACAGAGAGGTGACAACTAAGATAGGAAAGCAAAAGGCGGTAGATCCTGGATCCGAAAAAGGACATGAAAGGGACAACAGGCTCCATCGAGTAAGGTCTGTAGATTAGTCCTACTGAACCAGTGTTATTTTCTGATTTTGCTAATTAAACTGCAGTCATATGGGCTTTCCAATTGGCTCAGTGGTAAAGAATCTGTCTGCCAATGCAGGAGATGCAGAAGACGAAGCTTCGATCCTTGGGTTGGGAAGATCTCCTAGAGATGGAAATGGCAACCCACTCCAGTACTCTTGCCTGGAAAATCCCATGGACAGAGGAGCCTGGTGGGCCGCAGTCCACAGGGTCACAGAGAGTCAGACACAACTGAGCGACTAAGACACTAACCACAAAAAAAAAAAAAAAGACACTAACCACACACACACTATGGTTAAAATACGGCAGTAACATTAGAGGAAGTTGGGTAAGGATATACAGTGCTAACCTGTACTATTTTTTAATAAAATTAACTTTTCTGTCAATCTAAAATTATTTTAAAATTTAAAACATTAGAATATACATACACACATACCTCCCTGGTCCTTAGCTGATGCCTGAGAGTAGGAGTTTGGTTGAATATTGCGGTCCCTACCCTCAAGGTAGAGAGCTTTTTCAACCATTTGTGAGTACATGCGCCTATGAGTCTCTTTCTGGAGGGTAAAGAGGAGGGAGGTGAGGCCACGCAGACAGCAGGCTTCCGGGGGCTCAGTGCCAGGAGCCAGAAGGGGCTCCAGGCTGCTTCATTCTGACAGCGGCACCATCTGCCCAGAGCTCGACTGAGCCTGGAAGGTTCTGGAAGCCAGAAGGACTGAAGTAGTAGGGGCTGGAGGCAGGGAGGGTCTGGGAAGAAGGGGGACACCCTGAGGACTCACGGTTTCCAGACAGTTTGGTTTGTGCCAGGTCTGGTTGGGGTTTGCGCTCCAGGAAGCCGCAGCGTTCGCCTTCTCCGCAAGTGGTCACCGTCTCTTTGCAGGAGCCACTGGGGCCTCCACCGCAGTCATAGCACCGCATGCGGTTTCCTGGTGGGAGAGAAAAGGTGCTGGACCGGGCGCTCCGGGGGCGGCTGGCACAGGGCGACAGGCCTGTGTGACAGGTGCCCTGGCTGCCTCCTTACCCAGGGCAGCCCCCAGCAGGGTGCTGAGCAGGATCCCAGCAAATAGGGGGTTCATTGTGTCTGCCTGTGTCTGTAGCACCTCTCCCTCCCTCCCACCCCCCTCCCTGGTCTCCTCTCTGCCGGCCTTTTATCCCTGTTGCCTTTGGCTTTATAGGGCAATAAAAAGGAAGGAAAGAGTCTGTCTCCCCTAGAAGGCACCGGGGCCCCAATAGGGACAGGGAGGCCCCCCTGGGGGAGGCCTTCCCAGGAGAGAAAGCGCACTCAGCATCCTCTGATGTCCCTGAACTCCTCCATCTCAGAAACACTTCTAAGATGGTGGCCCCAGAACTCCCAGGGGTCCCTAAGACCCTTCCAGAGAGTCCTGGACAGTCTTCCTTTTCCAGCTACATATCTGTCAGATTTTCTTCATATATTCAACCAAAATCCCAACAGGCTGAATGCAAAAGCAAATGTGAAAACCCAGCCATCTTCTATTTCTTCTGTTAAGCCCCATATTAAACAGATTCCCCAAAGGGTAAAGAAATGCCACTCTTCTCACTATACTGTTGGAAAAGACATTATTTTTCACAAAAATGTGTTTTGTTAACATGTAACAGTTTCTGACCACTGTGTGGGTCTTCCCTGGTGGCTCAGTGGTAAAGAATCCCCTGCCAGAACAGGAGACGCACATTCCATCCCTGGGTGGGCGAGATCCCCTGGAGGAGGAAATGGCAACCCACTCCAGTATTCTTGCCTGGAAAATTCCATGGACAGAGGAGCCTGGTGGTTCATGGGGTTGCAAAGGGTCAGACACGACTTAGGGACTAAATGACAACAGCAGGTTTATTGCTTTATATTTTTTAATGAATCTGTTAAAATGTTCTGCTTTGATTTCTCAACTAGCAAATATTGATATAACTTACATAATAAGAACTCTTTGGGGTCTTCAGTAAATTTTTTTTTTTTTTAGTAAATTTTGAGTGTAAAGAAGTCCTGAGATTAAAACATGTTTTTGAGATCTGCTACTCAATGGATACCCGTGTCTCCTCTTTCTCACCCGCCACCCCATCTGCCTCTGACTCCTGGTAGTCTGCCCTGATTCCCCAGGTGCTGACTCTTCTCCCCAGTCTCTTAAGCCCCAGTCTTCCAGACTCTACCCCCGACACAAATCTTATCCCTCCCTTCCTTCCTAGTCTTTCTGAACCCTACCCCTGCACGAGTGGAAATACATCAGTCCCTCTGGCTTCACCCATGATTAATTATCTTCCCTAATGTAGTAAAGCTGGGACAGATAATTATGGGGTATGGATGTTGAAGCTTGGGGGATCAAAGGGATGGGCAGCTAGGTGGGGTCCGTAGCTGCGTGTGCATGTGGGTGGGTGGGTGGGTGGGGGCTTGCTGAGTCCACACTCAAACACCACTTGCAAACAGATCTGGGCCAGGGCTGTTTAGGAGAGTGACCTTAAGAGACTTAAATGCACAGCAGACGAAGACAGACAAACAAAAACAAGATGTGAGAGCAAAGAGCAGCTTGAGACAAGGAGAGGGAGGGAGAGGAGGAGGGAAAGTGACAGACGCTGACAGACACCATTCAAGAGCGACAGATGAAGCCAAGAGTAAGCTGCAAGAATAGAGAAGACCCTCAGGGCAAGAGCAGGCTCTAGTAGGAGGCAGGGAGGGTGTGAGAGCTTCGGGGCCAGGAACTCTCCTGTGTCAGGCTGTTGAGTCTGGTCCCCGTTCTGCCTCACCCTCAGATTCACTCCCTAGGTGTGTTTGTTTACTGGTTCCTCCCTGTCTCACTCAGATGCTCCAGCTCTGGGATCTCAGGGTGCAGATCACATTCTCCCAGACTCCTGAGCCCCGGGTCCTGACATGGGTACCTCCAGCATCTTCCTCTGCATCCTGTTCCTTGGTGGAACACTGGGTAAGGGTGAGCTGGAGAATCCCTGGGGACAGGGAGCAGGGTAGGGCGGTGGTGGTGGCAGGGGTTTGTGGAG